TGCCAGTCCATTCTCCCTGCAACACGGACTACACTGCCCATGATGCTACATTCTTTAGAGCTATGCTTGTAGCATTCTGCCTGTTAGCTTAGCACAACAACAACAACAATGAAAAGGCGCTCTCTCACCCAGGAAACACACAGTCGCAGTAACCATGGAAACCGTAACGCTGCCGCCTGGAACAACAGAACGTAGCTGTCAAACAAAACCCAAACAGTCCTGACCCGCAACAATATGAAATAGGAAAGTACCGCAGTGTATTCCATTTATTTCAACAAAGTAACTGTATTCTGAATACCACCTTTTTAAACGGTAACTGTAACGGAATACAGTTACTCATATTTTGTATTTTAAATACGTAACGGCGGTACATGTATTCCGTTACTCCCCAACACTGAGCATGGCTTATATATATTATCATAACTCTGGATTTACTGGCCTGTACTTAAAATGTAAAAACTTTGAAGTCCGAACTTTCAATGTGGGCTGAAATAGAGACTCAGCTGGCTGCAGCTTGTTGCTATGTCAGCTTACATCAGTCGTGTGATTTGGAGGTGCAGCGTGTCCGTGGACCACGGAGGGTTAATAACACTCACCTTCCTTCCATTTCCACAGTGTCACATCCAACCACCTGTGTAAAAAGCAAAATTCCCATGGTGTTTTATATAGCATTTACATTCACTGTTGACTGTAACTGCGCTCAAACTGTTAATGCTATCTTATTTTAATAGACAACACAGTCATATGCAAAACTGGGGTGGCACTTGGGGTGGCAAGGGATCATTTTAGGGTGGCACTTGCCACCCATGCCACCCTTCTAGATCTGCCCCTGGCGACAATGTAGCACAACACACGATCCACCATGTGCTGGCCATGCAAGTTGTAGACGTGGTGCCTGTGCTGCTAGACGTGAGTGGTGTGGAGGGCGCGCTGGACATGGGCGGCGTGGAGGGCGTGCTGGACGTGGCGGTCCCTCCGGCACGCCGACCTCCAGCTCTGGCTGAGTGGGTCCCTCCAGTTCGCTGAGCTCCTCCGGCTGCGGCGCGGGGCTCCTCCGGCTCGCTGAGCTCATCCACGTGTGGCGCGGACTCCTCCGGCTCGCTGAGCTCCTCCGGCTCGCTGAGCCCTTCCACTGGCGGCGCAGGCTGTGGCGCAGGCTGTGGCGCAGGCTGTGGCGCAGGCTGTCGCGCTGTGGCGCAGGCTGTGGCGCAGGCTGTGGCGCAGGCTGTGGCGCAGGCTGTGGCGCAGGCTGTGGCGCTGTGGCGCAGGCTGTGGCGCAGGCTGTGGCGCAGGCTGATCCTGATCCGATACCAATACTCTGTACAAAAATGTAATGTTTAATTGTATTTTATAATACAATATATAGTTGTATTATGTAATTGTAATAATATAGCTTCATAATGATTACAGGACATCACACTACTTGTTCTTGTTGCTTAATAATGCAGAATTATCATATAGAAATAAAAAAAAACCTGAAGTTGTGCGCTATTTGAGCATGTTGCCTGCTTGCATTACTAAAGGACTCTGCGAGAGACGTCTGTCTCGCCCTAGCAGCACCTGTCCCTCTCCTCCTCTTCAGTTCGCCTCAACATAAGCTTATCATATTCTGTAATATGATTTACTCTGAGGTGTTCAACTCCTCACTGTCTTGCCACATGTATCGCAAACCGCATCTTGGCTGTTTGTGGAGGTAAAATACGTCCACACACGACTCAGTTTACGCCCAGTCATTGTCGTAAGTGCACACGCCAGGGACTGCGACACATTTATACAGCCGTATGACTATGAAAGGCGTAAGAGGAAGCATTTCCTTCCAATTTAGATGATCTGAATGATATAGTTTCTTTCCACTGTGTTCCTGTTAATGAAAAACTACAAATTCACCCCAAAATACTAAAATGTCGATATTTTAATATGAGAATCGATTCTAGAACATAAATTACCGGTAACAGAAGAATCGATATTTCAATATCGATCCGCACGCCGCTAACAATTAGAACAGTGTGTATTTGTCAGTGCATTATACCAGGGAGCACTTAGCTTTTAGATTGCTAATGTGGTTCTCCATAATGCTAACATTGATAATGAATGTTATTTTGATGGGCGCTTTTACAGTCAGCTCTTAAGGACTGGAATTGAATTGCCTCTACTGGAAAGGGTTATGAAAGGCTGACTGTGAAATGTCAAGTTCTTGGTTTTATGTTTATCTATTCTCTATAATCTATTCAATAAAAAAATAAAAAATATATATTATCTTTTTCAGAGAGTAGTTCTTACAAAGTAATCACAGCAAAAATATTTTTGTGGTCTAATTGTGCTCCATGCACAATTGTGCTCAACAAGATGTCATATGCTTAATACACTAAGTGAATATGGGAGTAAAAACTCCAAAATTAGCTGATGAACAAAGTACAGAGGCTACGCTACCAAAATATCTACTGCTACTGTAAACTGAAATTAGTTTATGAGAAAGTCAAAGACAAAAAGTCAAAGGTATTAAACATCCATGTACCTGTTATCATTATATAGATTATTACCCACTTCCATGCTGCTCTTTACACTGAGGAGAATAAACAGTACATCAGTTTGGTCTTTCGCTGAATGCATGAAGCTGCATACAGAGTACATGATATTTTCTCTGACACACACACACATATATATATATATATATATATATATGTAATTGGTAAATGGCCTGTATTTATATAGCACTTTTCTAGTCCCTAAGGACCCCAAAGCACTTTACACATCCAGTCATCCACCCATTCACACGCACACATTCACACACTGGTGATGGCAGCTACATTGTAGCCACAGCCACCCTGGGGTGCACTGACTGAGGCGAGGCTGCCGGACACTGCCGGGCCCTCTGACCACCACCAGTAGGCAACAGGTGAAGTGTCTTGCCCAAGGACACAACAACCAAGACTGTCCAAACCGGGGCTCGAACCGGCAACCTTCTGATTACAAGACAAACTCCAAACTCTTGAGCCACGATCGCCCTATATGTATATATTTGTAATGTGTAACCTTCTTCATGACTGAACATCATTATGTAAAAGTCCAGACTTTGAGCTTCATCTGGTGATAATGTGCAGTATTTGTACATAACAAAAAGCAAAGCTTGCTGTCACACTGTTCATGAAGTTCTAGTTTTGTCTGTTTTCTGAGTGGGCCTATAGTGGAGGTCTGAAGAGGATTTTCCTTCTGAGGAAGCTGATGGTGAAAATAAGAGTTCTGCTTGATCACTGCGATGACCTTCAGTCCTCCTGATATTTCTGAAAGAACGTATGCCTTGGTGAACATATGCAACAGACACAAGACAGCTATGATGAAAGAAAGAGAAGAAGTCTGTCTTCTGGACCCATGAATCCAGCTTGTTTGGTCCCGGGCCGTGAGAGTTGAGCCTCGGGTGTGAAATTGATGGTTTTCAGGGTTTTTTATCATTAACTCGGTTTCCCTGGGTCTTTCCTGTGTTGTAGTTGTGTCTTATTTTAAAAGAAATATTCACGCGTTACCATAGTGACCAGAAAGCATTAAGGAGCAGAGAGGAGGGCGTTACTCTCAATATTGTTGGCGCATTTCAGGAGGACGCTGCTAATAAAGTTACACAATTACACACTGAATTTGCGTTTATTGTTATATCTACAAAATACCAGTTTTTGTCGTATCTTTTATTTTGTTGTATTTACCCGCCACACCTTAAACGCCGGTCTGTGAAAATACTGTCTGACATTAAACCGTCTGTGGAACAAAAAAGGTTGGGGACCGCTGGTATATATCTATAAGATGTTAACATGTATTCCTTTTGCAATGTATCATTGTGGTTGTATTTACCTTAGTTTAACAAGCCATTAGACACAGTAAAACCACCAGCAGAGATCGTTAAAAACAACCAGAGCAGTGAAGCTGTGTAAAAAGTGCAGGGGGAAGTTTGTGTGATCACATCCAGTGGGTGAGTGGGTGGCAGTATCTCGCTTCAAAAATGTGACATGGTAGCCCCTATAACTGGAAAATTTTGGCTTCACTTTTATACGGTGAGAGGAAATGGAGCCATGTTGTGCGTTTTTATACAGTTGTTGCTCAGACCTAACTTATTGAAACGATTAGTATAGTGTTAGAACAAGAAAAACAAGGTTAAAATATGAAACTAAATGTATTAAGATACATGGCTAATGAAAACTGTGACTTTCCCTTTGCAAAAAGCATGACTGCTGATTCTTCTCTGACCTCTCTGTTTATGTACATTTCACAGGTCCATGGGGTCGTTGTATGGGAAGTGAATGTGGTCCTGGAGGCAGCCAGAGTAGAGCGGTATGGTGTGCTCATTCTGAAGGTTGGACCACCCTGCATACCAACTGTGACCAAGCAGAACGACCAGACAACCAGCAGAGCTGCTTCAGGGTGTGTGACTGGCACAAAGAGCTATATGACTGGCAGCTGGGTGCCTGGAACCAGTGTGTCCCAGTGATGCGCAGTGCAAGGGTGCAGCGTCCTACTACGTGCACTCAGGGAGAGGAAGGAATTCAGACCCGTGAGGTGGGATGTGTTCAAAAAGCAAAGGGGGAGCCTGCAGAAGATGCAATCTGTGAATACTTTGAGCCCAAACCACGCCTAGAGCAGGCCTGTCTCATCCCATGTCCTCAGGACTGTGTGGTGTCTGAGTTTAGCCCATGGACTCCCTGTTCTAAAACCTGCGGGATAGGGTTACAGAACCGCATTCGCTTTGTCCTGGCTCCACCATTGTTTGGTGGGGCAGCCTGCCCAAATCTGACTGAATTTCAGACATGCCAGCTAGGTCCCTGTCAGGGAGAAGAGAGCCTTTACAGTCTCAGGGTGGGTCCCTGGGGCCCATGCACTGTTCCACTGCCAAGGCAGACCAGACAGGCAGACAAACCACCAAGAGAGAGTGAAAAACAACCCCGGGAAAGTGATAAACTTTCTAATGAGGGAGACAAACTCACCAAAGAGGGTGAAAAACCACCCAGAGGAGATGGCAAACAGACCAGAGAGGGTGAAAAACAGTTAAAAGAAGGAGACAAACAGCCCAAAGACGGCGAAAATCCACTTAAATCCAAAAGAAAACTGGGCAGGGGAAACAGGAATAGGAAATCAGACAGGCCATCGCTACTGGCTGATCGGCCGAAACGACAGAAAAAAGCGAAAAACAAAGAAAAAAGAGAGAAATTAAGAGAGAAAGTCCAAGAGAGGTTAAGGGAGAGGGGCAAAGCAAAAGATGCTGAGACCAGAGAACTCATCAAAAAGAAGAGAAACAAGAATCGTCAGAATCGCCCGGGAGGAAAGTTCTGGGACCTACAAACCGGTTTTCAGACCAGAGAAGTGACCTGTGTGCATAAGAGCGGGGCTGTCGAAGCTCTCAGGTAACCATGACTGAAATATAATAAAGAAAATAAACTGTTATCTGTGATGTCATGGTTCTATCCTTCATAGAGTATTGATATCATTTTCTTTGTCAGCATGTTAGCTTGTCTTCTTTTTTTAAAAATCAGTTACAGACTGACAGCAATAGTTAAATCTTTGAGATCTGATATGTGAGCTTGTCTTAGAGTTGACAATTGTTATTCTATTCATTACTGGTTTTAAATTAAACTTTTATCATGCCCCCATTAACAAGATTACTATCAGTTTTAATTGATGAAAACGTAACATAATTAATATACACAGCTTCCAAGCTCAATCAGTGTTTTTGTATTCATTCATTTTTTTTCTTTTAAAAACACAACTTGCATCCATCAAAAGCTGAGGCAGGAATAGGCTGATGTGGTTATAGCACACCATAAACCACAACCTGATTCACTGGCTGGCTGCAGGGATATCAGAGACACAGCTGACAAAGTTGTTGCTGTCAATGTTTAAGCAACTCAAAGATCATATAAGTTAAGTAGTACACACAACTGGTTAGTTTGTAGCTGCCTTGATAGGTTAGGTCGGTGCTGATGTTTTGGTATTTGAGAATGTTAACTCTGAATTAAACTAAGTGGTATTAAACCTATGAGCCACCCAAAAACTGCCACATTTACCAAAATACAGTTGCTGATTTGTTTGTTTGTTGTTTTTAACTTAAAATATACAGTAAATAATTAAAAAGGCTAATAAGCCCAGGGTTTAAAATACTCAATGTCAGTCAATGTGGCAAACATAATTGTTAGCTTTGAGCATCTAACCACAGACTAGAGGACTGGGGGATATATACAGTGTTAACTTTGGATCTGAAATCTAAAATTTAGTAAATTCAGTAACTTTACACTTTACACATGAGCCATATAAACCTTAATAAGAAACAGGCCATTTAACATCTAAAGCCTCATATGGTCATAATCAAAACATGATGCAGAGGCTTGCAGGTCAATTGAGGCAAAATGAGAGTAAAATAAAACAATTAACACAGAAAAGCAAAGAAAGTGTGTGTGTTAAAATCTAAAACATACAGAAAAGAAGAAAAATGGAAGTGTTAGAGAACCTGAAAAAAGAGAAGCATCATATCATTATCGCAAATAATTTTCTTTTGAAAAAAGTAAAGCAAACGCAGTGATAAAAACAACAAGAGCAAAGCCATGGCCTGTGGAAGCAGCCACAGAAAATATAAATAAATGACTTGGATTCTTGGAACTTCAATATGCCGATTATCACATTAGCTGCCTCAGACAGAGAAAAGCCTTGGAGTGAACGAACGGTAACAACAGAAATGGCCACTGAAATGCAGCTCGGAGTTCTGATTCTGATTCGCACTGACTTCCTCTTTTCTTCTTTTCTTTATCTGCCAGCTTTCTGTGAACCCGAGGATATTGTGTTTATACTATAAATATGATCAGTGATGTTTCAGTGATGCAACTGTCATACTTAAATGTTGTGCTTTTGCTGCAGTCATTTTGCACACAGATAAAATATTGCATAATTATAAAGCATTCAAATATTTTTTCTTTACATCAAACCAAATTTTAGCACGTCATACAGCCTGTTCTTTTTAATAACTCTTATATTATGTCAGTTACAGTATTTCTGTTTTTCCTACAAAATATAAAAAATGTGGATCGATTGTGACTTTTGCACAGTTCTAAACATGTTTTATTACATTTAAGTGGTTACATCGAGTACATTGCTGTCTTTATTTTCATGTTCTACAGCCTATGCTCTCAGGAGACTTTGCCAGTGACCTTCCAGGCTTGTGTGATAACCAAAGACTGTGATGTGACTGAATGGTCCAAATGGTCAGCTTGCACCAAGGAGTGCTATGACCCCACCAGTCCCAAGGCGGTGTGGACTCGCACTAGAAAAGTGACCCAGTTCCCTGTGGGTGGAGGAATAGATTGTCCAGAGTTGGAGGAGAAGGAGCCCTGCACCCCCCAGAGTGACGTGGTACCACCCTGCAATACGTAAGTACATGTGCTTAACTTAATGTACGATTTTCTTAAAGCAGCAGAAAATGACTCGTTATTATGAACTTCTAGACCATACCTCCCTGTGGTAGACAGAGAACAAGGCCAGGTTGTACCTCACGTCTTTCCCACCTCTTTTTCTGGGGTGGTACAGGGCGGAGTAATCTTCGTCCATCTCAGGCTTCAAAACACAAAACTCTATTTTTTTTTCTGTGTTATTGCTGAAAGAAAACACTTTCTGCATACTGACTCAGAAAAACAAAATCTGTCTTTACATGAGAAAGATCTAACACAATTAAGTTGTGTCGTGTTCAGAATTTTTGGAAGGAATTTCAGGAGAAAGGTCTGTCTTTTAAAAAAGGATTTACCTTTCTTTTGGCAGTTGAAATTACAAGTTTACACAGCGCTGTGGACCTCCAGCATGTCTCACAACAAGGATGAACTTAAAGTGGGCTGTACAACATTATATAGTGAGACAAAAACATAGATTATAGCAGCTATCTTCCTCCTGCATGGACGTGGCAGTCTTGGTGTCTGCTGCGAAGCATCCTCGTATTTCCATGACCTCGTCTGGTATCTGCTCCATCGCCTGTAAGAGACAGAAAAGCCTTGATAATCTGATGTTATTATCCATTGTTCTTCTAGTGATTCAAAATTGGTTTAAAATATCATGTTCGGGACTCTCTGACCCAGAGACGTATTCTAATCATAATCTATGTGTGTAAGCGTGTTTGCAGTCATTTCCTACAATATATCAGTCCGGACATCACGCCGAACGAAGCTTTTGACCTTCAAAAGACTGAGTGCCAACTCTCATGAACACATTTGCAATGTGTGTATGAAAATAATTATAACCGCTTATTTCAGTAAGAGAAATCAAACATCTTCAATCCCAACACTTGGTAGAGACATTGCCAGAGTCTGAAACACCAAACTCAGTTTTCATATGGACTGACTCAGAAACTGAGATCTCAGTGACAACTTTCATTATATCTGCCTGCTCAAAATCTTAAAACCCAGACATAGAAACGGGTATTACTGCTAGAAAAAGACAGAAAATTCACAATTAACCAGCGCAGAAACAAAAAGCGTAAACATGAAACTCACTGGCTCAAAAACAGAAAACTCATGTTTATTTTTAGCGCCTGCGTCAGGACAAAACACAGGAATTAATTAGTTTTACTCACTGTGGTGGTGATGCCTCAAAACTGATAGCTGATGCAGGCAGAACAGCGGGCCCTGGCTGGGGCCCACCGTCAGCAGATGCAGGTGGTGAAGTGGGCTCTAGGAGCATTGAGCGACTACAATGGGAACCTTGCTTCCTCCTGGAAGAAGGTGCTTGTGGGAAAAAGGTTAGGAACTAGGTCCAAGAGGTCAGACGATAGCTCATCTGAGATGATGATGGTCACTGGCAGTTGGTCTCAGTTCTGCCACCGAGAGCCAAGCTTCCTCAAACAGGAAGCAGGTTTTTGGCATGTGAATTGGCATGTGGTGGTCGTCTGGTGAGTGGGTGGCTGGGGACAAGATTTGCCAGACCACCCTCATGACCAGATCCTCAGGCAGAGGAGGGGCAGCTGTTGAGTGAGACAGCTGGAGTGATGTGATCTGAGTGCAGGGCTACAACTGCAGCAATGAGGATGTGGAATTAGAGGTGAGACACTGGGGTGTTGTTGTTATTGTTGTCGTGGGAGGATGGATTGTCGACAACAACAAATCCTTGAGCCAGCCAGGTACAATGTCTATTACAACGGTCCCCAACCCCCGGGCCTCGGACCGGTGCCGGTCCGTGAGTCGTTTGGTACCGGGCCACGAGAGTTGAGGCTCAGGTGTGAAATGTCTGGTTTTCAGGGTTTTTATCGGTTTTCAGCGTTATTTCGTTATCGTTTTTATCGTTAACTCGGTTTTCCTGGGTCTTTTCACATGTGTTATGAATAAATTTTCTTTTTTTCGGTACCAGTACTAGTTTTATTTTGTTGTATTTATCCGTGACACCTTAAAGGCCGGTCCATGAAAATATTGTCGGGCATAAACCGGTCCGTGGCGCAAAAAAAGGTTGGGGACCGCTGCTCTATTAGACTGAAGTTCTCTGTGGGTGTTTTCCAAATCCTCTTAACAACCACTGCCTCAAAGTATTTTGGGCTGAAGTCCACAAATATGCTCCTCAATTTCCAAATCTGCACACTCCATGACTGGTCGCATCATTCATTCATAGTTAATGGTGAATGAGGACTTCCAAAAGCAGGCAAGAATGCAAGTGTCATGTCAAAGACTGTGGGTGAAGATCAAATCTACTCTCTTAACTGGCGATACAGGGATCTTAATATTTGAATACTGTGTTCACTTCTCTGTACCTGAGGGTGGCATTGTTCATTTTCTCTGCTGTTTTTTTAGTTATGTAAGTTCCAGGTGGAAGCTGACTATTGTTTGGAGACTGAATGGGGCTGGCTATGAATTGGAATCTGTCAAGGCCAGCTGGCTATCGCGTTATTTTTGTGCCACTATTCTGAGCGCACGTAAAAAAAATTTGCAGGTGCAGGTGTTGCATTTTGAGGAGAAATTGATTTTGAGCGAAGAAAAGCTAAATTTGAGTGAACAAA